ATGGCATGATCGCTTTGGTCACCTGGGCACTTCGATGATGCGCAAAATCGTAGAAAGCTCACATGTTCATTCACTGAAAATCCAGGAGATAAATCAGGGGAATAAAATGACATGTGATGCGTGTTCTCTAGGAAAATTGATTATAAGGCCATCACCAACCAAAATCAACAAAGATTACCAAATTTCCTTGAACGGATACAAGGTGATATATGTGAACTTATACATCCACCATGTGGACCATTAATCTACTATTTTATGGTTATGATAGATGCGTCCAGTAGATGGTCACATGTTTGTCTACTATCATCTCGAAATGTGGCATTTGCGAGATTTATAACTCAGATAATCAAACTAAGAGCTCAGTTTCCTGATTATCCAATAAAGAGAGTTAGACTAGACAATGCTGGTGAATTCACATCCCAAGCGTTCAATGATTATTGTATGGTAACGGGTATCGACGTTGAACACCCTGTCGCTCATGTTCATACACAAAATGGTTTGGCTGAATCATTAATTAAACGTCTTCAACTGATTGCAAGACCATTAATCATGAGATCAAAACTTCCGACCTCTATATGGGGACATGCCATTTTGCATGCAGAAGCACTTATCCGAGTGAGACCTAGTGCATATCATACATATTCACCATTACAGTTAGCATTTGGTCGAGAACCAAATATATCTCATCTAAGGATCTTTGGTTATGCGGTGTATGTACCTATAGCACCACCACAACGTAATAAGATGAGACCACACAGAAGGTTGGATATATATGTTGATTGTGATTCTTCATCAATTATATGTTACCTAGAACCACATACAAGTGATGTATTTACGGCACGTTTTGACGGTTGCCACTTCGATGAGAAAGTGTTCCCGGTTCTAGGGAGAGAAAATAAGCAAGTAGGAAATGATATTAAATAGGGTGTGCCATCCTTGCTACACCTTGACCCTCCAACAAAACAGTATGGACTAGAAGTTTGATGAATTATGCATTTGCAAAACATAGCAAATCAGATGCCTGATGCATTTGCAGACACAAAGACGGTAACTATATCACATTATACCCCTGCTCGTATTGAAATACCGTAGGAGCGTAGAAGAGAAGCTGATGCACATGAGTCTAGAACACGCTTGAAGCGTGGTAGACCTGTTGGCTCTATGAATAAAGATCCTAAGGAATGGAAAGAGGCTGAAAAACAAAACCCTCCCAAAATAACATAAATTTTAGAAGAGACAAGCCATGAGGGTGAGGATAATGTGAAACATTCTGAATCTGAAGAGAACCATGAGATTTCCATCAACTACATTCATAGTAAAATGATATGGGATCGAAATAAAAAGAATGACGTTGATGAAATTTTTGCATACTTTCTATCAAAAGAAATTAACGACGAAAGCGAAGATCCAGAACCAAAATTTGTACCTGAATGCCAAAAGAGGCATGATTGGTTAAAATGGAAAAATGCAATACAAGTCGAACTTGATTAACTTAATAAACGAGAAGTATTCGGGCATATTGTGATCACACCCAAAGCTGTTAAACCAGACGGATACAAATGGGTATTTGTTTAGAAATGAAATGAGAAAAATAAGATTATAAGATACAAAGCTCGCCTTATGGCTCAAGGTTTTTTTCAAAGACCTGGAATTGATTACGAAGAAACATATTCTTCCATTATCGATGCAATCACATTTAGGTTTTTAATGAGTCTAGCAGCTAATAAAGATCTAGAGATGTGTCTCATGGATGTTGTTACAACATATTTCTATGGATCATTAGGTACAAATATCTATATGAAAATCCCTGAAGGATTCAAGATGCCAGAGGCTTTGAATTCTAAACCCAAAGAGTTATGTGGAATAAAATTGCAAAGATCATTATATGGGTTAAAACAATCTGGGCAAATGTGGTATAATTGTCTGAGTGAACACTTAATTAAAGAAGGATATATAAACAGTCATATATGCCCATGTGGTTTTATCAAAAAAACACCATCTGGATTTGTAATCATTGCTGTATATGTTAATGATCTAAATATTATAGGAACTCATGAAGAAATACAGAAAGCAACATGCTATATGAAGGGAGAATTCGAGATGAAAGATCTGAGACAGACAAAATATTTTCTTGGCTTACAAATTGAGCATCATGAGAATGGATTATTTGTGCACCAAACCACATACACCAAAAGAGTATTAAAACGCTTCAACGTGGATAAATCAACTCTACTTAGCACTCATATGGTTTTGAGGTCACTAAATGTCGAAAATGGTCCCTTTAGATCACATAAAGAAAATGAAAAGATACTTGGTCCTGAAGTACCATATCTAAGTGCAACTGGAGCACTTATGTATCTTGCAAATTGTACCCTACCTGATATATCATTTGCCGTTAATCTATTGGCAAGATTCAGTTCCGCTTCTACGAAAAGACATTGGAATGGGATCAAATATATATTTTGCTATCTTCAAGGAACGATCAACTTAGGATTATTTTATCCTAAAAACTCAAACGGTCAAATGGTTGGTTTTGCACATGCTGGATATCTATCTGATCCTCACAAAGCTCGATCACAAACATGGTACATTTTCACAGTTGGAGGAATTGCTTTATCATGACGCTCTAAAAAACAGACACTTGTAGCTACTTCCTCAAATCATGCTGAAATCTTTGCACTACATGAAACAAGTAGAGAATGTGTTTGGCTTAGATCAATAAGTCAACATATCCAGTCAACTAGCGGAATCTCCGTCAGTCCAGAACCGACCATCCTATATGAAGATAATGCTGCATGTGTTGCTCAGACAAAGGAAAGATATATCAAAAGCGACAGAACCAAACATATTCCACCAAAGTTCTTCTCATATACCAAGAGCTTGAGAAGAATAAAGAAATTAAAGTGAAATATGTTCGATCATATGATAATGCTGCTGATCTCTGTACAAAGTCATTACCCACTACAATGTTCAGAAAACACGTCCATAACTTTGGAATGCATCATCAACAAAATCTATAATCCGATGTCCTAATCATTCGAGGGAGAGCTTCATCGTTGTACTCTTTTTGCCTTACTATAGTTTTTTCCACCGGGTTTTCCTAGAAAAGTTTTTAACGAGGCAACCGAAGAAGCATCACAAGAGATATAAATGATAATGAACTCCACAGGAGAGTGTTACAAAAGTCAAAGAAACACATACGTAAAGAAATTGAAATGGAGCCTACAATCATTATATCTTACAGTAACATTTGTCGATTTTACTTTTTATATAAAAAGATGTATTCATTTATTGCAATACACACTAAAAGTAATTATACTCTCCTCTTTAGTATTGGTATCTTTCTCCATGTGGTCTTTATCTTTTCCTCTCATAAATAATTATTTCTTAGTAAAAGATATCATAAATAATATATATATATAATACAATATAATTATAACAACTTTATATATTTGGTTAGCTAAACTTTTTTTTCTGTTTTTGTGTATTTTAATTTATTCAAACTGTTAATCATATTTAACAATTTTTTGTGTTTAGTAAAAATGTTGTTATGGACCAGTCAGATTAAGTATTTTTTAATCCTAGGTGGACATCATCAATGACCTAAGACATCAATTTTTATATAATATAGACTAGGCTCTTAGTGATGATTTAGTTTAATTCAATGTTTTGGTTAATATCTATTAAATTATCAAAAATATAAAATATTTATATAAATTTTATTTAAATAAAAAAATTCAAATATAATGTGTCGTTTTTTTTCCAATTTTATGCTTATAAAATTATAAATCTTATTAAGTAAAAATCATAGTAATAACACATCGAATTATCCAATTTCGACGTGCATATGTTTGATTTAGAAAATGATTTACTTACTAACTTTTTGATGTTTTGTTTTATTTCTATAAGATTTCTGTAATTCTTTTTTATTTAAAGTTTATATATTTAAATATTTAATATTCGATTAAATATCTCACTGAAGCTGTCTCGCTTTTCAAATGTTTTTATGAGCAAGGCAATCCTAACGGTAACTACAACTCTCATGTTTTCATTCAACTCTCTTCTTTGATGAAACTTCTTAAAGTTTTTTTCTTTGGTTTTAGCCACAAAGCCACACCGCCCCGTAGTACAAAGAGAGAGTATCTAAAGGAAACATATATAGGAAACATATACGATGATGATATGCTAGTAAAGAATCACATTGTGCAGATTTGGTCTCAAGCAAAAGTTGGATTAAAGTTCTATTTATGTTAACATTTGGTTTCTAATGATTGATGATGCTAGAGAGCTTGTTAGAGAGTAATGGTACTACATACTTGTTTTTTTTTTATGAAATTTTTTCAATTTAATTTATTTTTCGAATGTCAAACATCATACTTCAAAATGATATTAGCTTTGGCTTCTAACCAGTCAGAATGATTGATTTTGCCATTGACTCAAGATTCTTCTTCCAGATAGTGTATGATTCCATAGACCAAATGATGTCTCTTTGTCCACTGTAAGAAAAAATGAATAGCCCACGATGTTGAGACTACCGGGGAGACTTCCTTTTAGATCGTAGAACGTAAGTATAGAGATATTAATATTGCAAATCAGTTTTTTCATAACCATGAGATGCTTTGACAGGTCCAAACCCACTTTCAATTAAACACATAAATAAAATAAAAGTAGTGATGTGGATAGTTTAACAATGTTCTCAAAATTTGGTGTTTATTAATTTTTTTTTGTCAACATTTAGTGTTTATTAATCACTTGCAATTTGGACTTAAAAAAAGAAATAGAAATACTAGAGTGAAATAAATTTGGAGATAAAAACGTTTTATGTTAAATGTTTTCATGTTAAAATTTTAAATTTAACTTAGTGTTTGTTATATCACAACATCAGCTTCATCATCACCTAGAGCATCTGCTAGGTTTCTGCGGGTCCATCCTATGTCCGATGGTGAAACATTTTCCTCAGTTCCTGAGAGCTTTTCTTGATTTCTCATTTTTTTTCTCAGATGGTCAAGTTCATGCAACATAAACTTGGCCATCTTATTGTGTAACGGAATCAGATCCTACTGAACCACATGTATTCAGCTTTTCTGGCAAAATTCATATATTTTGTAGGTTTACACGTTAGTCTTACCATGTTCACTGGATATTTGGTTGGATACGCTTCTTTCAGAGCTTTGTCAACCGCAACCCTGCTCTGGTATGTTTTGTGTGTGTCTCTCTCTCTCATTTTTTGGCAAATTCTGGAGAAACCTGTCACGGTTAAGTGAATCTATGGGTGTTTTTCTTTTTCTTTTAGAGTACTGCTGGCGGGATTCGTGGACTAGTTTTGGCGATGCTTGTGGAAACGCTTCTGTTTATAATCAAGACCTCTATAGATGATCTGATTCAGAGCTCTAAATCATCATCATCTTCATTCACTCCCACTATGGCTTGATCAGATCTTTGTTCGCATGACCATTATTCTTCAAATTCTCCACAATATGCTTCACACACTTTCTGTGTTCAGCACAAGGCAACTTCTCTTCAACAACATTAATAAGTCCCTGCAAACATAAGCAAAAAAAATGCCTACAGTTTATAGGGAGTAAAAAAACAAAACCTATTAGTTTACAAGGAAAAGAAATTGAAATGCTTATCCTTGCTCTATCCGAGATAATGATTATTCCATCTCCATTTTTAAGATCTAAATCATGCTTCAGAAGCTTCACAAACCACAACTAATTGGGTCCATTTTCACGTTGTACCACTGCCCAAGCAATGGGATAAATTTTACTGTTAGGATCATGTCCAACAGCAGTAAGCAATACTCCTTTGACACTAGCTTTCAGAAATGTGCCATCAAGATCTATAATTGGACGACAAGACGAACGCCAACTGTATTTGAGGTTTGCTATACAAACATAGAAACTGTCAAACACATCTTCTTTAGCCGCATTAGTATATGTCTCAACTATTGCAGTTGATCCCGGATTTGTGAAGAGTATAAAACTTTGATCCTAAAGCTAACGTATCTCCCTTCTTTGTGCTCATTCTTCATTTTTTAACAACCAAATCATCTTCTTCTGAGTCACCTGAGCTCTCTGGAATTGTGTGTCTAATCCCAAACTCCTCCTCAACAAAGTCAGCAACATCTTCTTCGATTTCATGCTCATATCGTCCCACTGTATCCTCCTCTTCATCTTCATTTTCTGCTTCCTTTTCTTCATCATGCTCTTGTCCATCTCCAATTTCTGTTTCCGGCTGGTTCTCTTCATCTCTATCAAAGTGAGTCTCAAACTCACTGTTCACATCTTCCCTGAAACAACAACAACAACAACAACAAACATCAATTAATAATTCTTCTTCTGGCAGAGAGAACTTATAACGAAAATCACAGAGTATAACAGATGTTGTTGAAAAAAAAGAACAATTGATCAAAGCTTTAGCAGATTCGAATTACCTGAGAACAATTTGCAGTTCATTCATCTCCAATTGAAAACCTCCAATGTGTCGGCTATACAACATTGAAATCAGCCCAACTTCACGAATAACACGACGATCTCTCCTTTGCCTCTCTATATCTGTCGTGATGACGACTCCGTCTCTCTGAAGCTTTCTCACTTTGTACCTTTTTTGTTATTCGTCGTGAAGAAGGTAGAGAACTAAAACCTAAATTCCCAAATTCTAAATTTTGACTTTAGTCAAATAGGTTTATATGGGCTTGGGTTGGGCTAACATTTGGATCTAGTTTTATTGGTTTATCAGATTTTGGTTCGGGTTTAATCAATCTGGGTTAGGGCAATCACGATTTTGAAAACGCGATTTAGTGGAGTTGGTCGCAATTTTGATTAATTAACATTCTAGATGAAATTAAAGAGTAAAATAGTTGTGGGGGGGGGGGGGGGGGGGGGGGGGGGGAATGTAACTAAATGTACAAGTTCGTGGGCAGGGGAGAAGGGTCTAGACAACCAACCCTAAATAATTTTTTCTTAGTAAAACAAATCATAAATTATATATATATATATATAATATAATATAATTATAATATGTTATCATCACATATTGTTATCAGAGTGCGGCTCGGCCGCTTTATTATTTATTTACTAATTTTATGATGGAAGTACCATATTGGTCGGTTTAACCGCCTAAACATTTAATTTACGATTTTTGTTATGAATGATTTTGTCACCATAATTTATTATTTAAAATCGATAATTTTGTTTACATAATTTATTTAATTTTAATAATAGATAACTATAGTCACCATAATTTATTTATTAAATAAGTCTATATATATAATTTTAACTAACATATTTTATTCATTTACAATTTAATATGGATGATTTAGTCATCATATATATTTGTTTATACTATAATAATTAAATATAGATATTATAACGTTTATATATAAATTTTTAATAATTGAAAAATTTAACTGATTGTTTATTAGAATATCAGATTAATTTATTTTTAAATATCTATGATTCAACGGTAACAAATATTTTTTCTGAAAAACTTTTTACCTTTTCGAACGACTACTTAACAGTTTACAGAATTTTTTCATCTATAAATACTTTTATATATCATTCTTTCACTTCACTAAAATCCTCTCCAATCAAAATGGTTTACTTTTATTACTAGAAAAAATGCTTCATCTATTACTTTTTGTAATTAGTTATACTAGATTTGATCCGCGCGTTACGCGGACTTATCTGTTAATTTAATTTTAATTTTTATATTTATACTACTATTATATATATGTTTATTGTATATTATAATGTATTACATTTGTCCTTTTTAAATGTTTTTTTAATTTTTTGTCCTAATATATATATGTTTACATTGTAAATTTCTTTTTCTAATATAGATTATAATGTATTATATTAATTGTAAAAAAATCTCTTATTATACACTGCAATAAGTTTTATATGTGTCATAATTGTTGAATTGTATTTAATTAGTTTCAGATTTTTTTTTCTACAGTTTATTTTCACATATCAACAAAGTGAAATCATTATCGACCCCTCTCCACTCTAAACTAAAATATTCTCTTAATTATTTATCGGATTACAAAAAATCTAACTCATTTTTAAGCACAAATAATCATTTATTTTTTTCTCCCTTTCCTATTGCTCCTATAGTCCTATTATTCTGATTACAATCATTGATATTTTCTATTATTTCATGCAAACTTCCGTCTCGTTCAATTCTGTGATTAGTTGTAACTATAAATTAGTGGAATTATAGTGAGAGTTGGCGAGACAGAGCAAAATATTTGTTCATATGTTACATAGGCTTGATAGGTTTGTATATAAAAAAATTATTCTTACTTGATAAACTGTTGATTTTAATTGATTTGAGGAATTTGTCTTTTTTTGAAAAACAATTCTGATGTGTCCATCCATCTGACGATGATGAACTATCTGACTATATTTGCATCTGTGTGAAAATATTTTTGTCTATTTTCATGTCATGTGGAGGTAAACAACTTGATTCTGTTAAAAAATAAAATCAATATTCTTGTTTTAGTTTATTTATACACTTTATATTAAAAACTCATAAATTATCTGGTTGTTGATTAAACTCATCAAATATCAACTTTATATTGCCATCGTTGAGAAAAAATTGTTGATAAGTATTTGCCATTTTTTCTCCTTGTATAAATCAAACTTATTTATATACTACATAATTAAATATTTTATGTTTTTTTATTTATGAAAAACAATTTTTCTTCTATACAGTAAAGTAGATATGAACGATTTTACTTTATTTTATGCATTCATCTTTCTGATATTTGTTTTTATAATTTTGATAACAATTATTTGCAACTTCTTATGTCATCTTTCGTAATTGTTCATTTTGCAACTCTTTTTCACATTATATTTATTTATATTCAAAGTGCAACTCTTTTTCACATTATATTTATTTATATTCAAAGTAACTCTTTCTCACATTCTATTTATTTATATTCAAAATAACTTTTTTCACATTCTATTTATTTATATTCAAGATCAAATTTTAAAATTTTTATTACATAGAAAATTAATGTTTTTATGGTTTTTGTAATAAACATTTGTTATATGTATGGTTTTACTTTAAATTTATACATAAATCTTTTTAAGATTTTTTTGTTTATAAAAAAACTTGAGAATTATTTTTTTGTAAGTTATTCCATTATCTTTTGTATGTGCCTTTTAAATTCTTTTTCACATATAGAGAATTTGTAATTTCTATGACTTGTCAAATAAGTATTTGTTTTTCATTTCAAATTAATCATATTAAAAGCCCAAAAATAAATACCCAAAAGATAAAAACTGAAAAGCAAAACCCAAAATATTTAGGTACCATTTTAAAAATTAAAAATTGATGAGGTGAATACTCTAGATGGAAAGATATTTTGCTAATTATATATATGATTTTTGTTGCCTTTTATTGTTCACTCGTCTGAGAATTTTCTCCGGAAGAATATGTAACGACTTTTTATTTTGATGTTTTAATAAAATTACTCTTTCTAATTGTATTCTTGTTGTTTTATTTTAGAAATTCAATGGCATACGTTGAAAAGCTCCAATTCCCAGCTCTTGACATCACTGATGCTAACTATATTTATTGGACTACGAATGTCGAACTTCATCTCGAGTCTCTAAGTTTATCGGAAACTATCAAAGAGAATAACACCTTAACAGTCCAAGAGAAGTCTAAATCGGTGATTTTTCAAGAGACACCTAGATGAAAGTATCATATATAACTATGCACACATGATGGATTACAAAGAGCCCTGGAAGTCTCTGACGGATCGTTTTGTTCATCAGAAAGACATTACAATTCCACTTGCTCTGGATGAGTGGCAAAGTCTGAGGTTCCAAGACTTCGACAAAGTGATGAACTACAATTCCGCGGTGTTAGGAATTGTGGCCAAGTTAAAGTATTGTGGTGAGACCATAACAAAATCTCAAATGCTTGAGAAAATGTACACCACATTCCACAAAAACCACATCACCCTGTAACAGCAATACATGTTGCGTGGATATATCAAATTTTCGGATTTGATTGTGGCGCTCCTAATAACCGAAAAGAATAACGAGCTTCTCATCAAGAATCACATGACTCGACTTACCGGGTCCAAAGCATTCCCTGAAACGAGTGCATTAGATGTTAAAAACCTGGTAAGAGAAAATAAAGTCTTTCGAGGTCATGGCCATAGAAACAATCGCGGAAGTGGGAGAAACTACAACCCACATAATAGGAAATCATTCCAATGGACACGTTCTGAACAACCCCCGAAGGGAAAAGATCACCTAGGAAATACCTCCCAGAAGCAAGGGGAAGCTTGTTTCAGATGTGCCCGCACATCTCTGTGCGCTGTACAAAGA